ATTATGCCAAATTATTGGACGGAGATCGTCAACTAATATTTCTTCGGATATTTCTCCGGTTTGCAGTTCCATAACCTTATCCGGAAACCATCTACGGTAATTTTGTTGATTCTCACAGAGCAAAGTGCTAAGAAACTGCCGCAAACTGCTACAATCTCCGAGAAATCTATTTATTGACTAGCTTGCTAAAATTCATCGTCAAATTACCGCTGCTCGAGTTACCTAGCCAGGCCGATTTCAGTTTTAAGTACTAGAGTCGGTTATCTAGTCAAAGCCTAGCTTTTTTGTAACTTGTAAGTGCTTTTGCGGATTGTCGTGGATTTCGGCAAATAGTCGTGGATTTCGGCGATATTTTCAGATTATTCTTCAATGTCCTCAAACCTGAGCACTGGGACTACTTAAGTTTTTGCTACTATCTGAATTATTTGCTCAAGCTACTGGCTCGCTAGGTTCAAAGGTTTATTTTCTATTTATCATGAAGAAAAAAAATTGTGCTGGGTAAAAGTTTACATGGTGTTCACGCAGGTTTGAACTCCCGACCTCGCGCAGAGCTAGCCGATCGCCTGGCCGCTAAGCTACTCGGGTGATGTACTCATGAAATTTTTGATGTAATTATATATTTACCCCTTTTTACCCCCAGTTCCATAGCGGATATTATGCCAAATTATTGGACGGAGATCGTCAACTAATATTTCTTCGGATATTTCTCCGGTTTGCAGTTCCATAACCTTATCCGGAGACCATCTACGGTAATTTTGTTGATTCTCACAGAGCAAAGTGCAAAGAAATTGCCACAAACTGCTACAATCTCCGAGAAATTCCCGGAGAGCTTCATCTCCGTATAAATTATAATACAGTAGACGGAGCCGGAGAATCATCACCGTAGAAATGGACCTCCGTCTAATAATTTGGCATAATATCCGCTATGGAACTGGGGGGTTAATCTGATTAAAAGCTACAAAAAATTCCAGAAATGAGATGGCTGGTTAAAACCTACCTTTGGAAAGCTCTGATGAACCTGCCCGTGGAGAAATAAACACACTTAACTTCACCTCAATTGAGCAATAACTATTTATCGCTTATTACTTCATTTATTTAGGATGTACAGTGTGCTTCGTAACTAATTTATTATTACAAAGTTTACTTTCTAATAAGCTAAAACGACAACTAATCTTTCGTTTTACTCCCTACTGTACTGGTTTACTCGTCAATCCAGGTATATGAGAATGTGTGAGAATGGTCTTGAAACTCTGAAAAGAGGGAAGCAGTTTTGGGGACGGGGAGATTGAAGCGGGTGGGCGACAAATGAACCCCCCCCCCCTATTGTAAGCCCCCCGGCTTTCAATTGACCCCCCATGCGATTACACTGAGTCAATTGATCTCAGTATAATAACATGGGGGTTAATTGTCGTACTAAGCCCTAGATTGTACCTGCTAATGAGGTGAATATCCCAGATCATAGCTTCACAGGTAGGACTGTATAATGGGGGCCCTGATGTTATAGTGGACATCACTTTCCCCTCCCTTATCTGATTAAAGGATACAAAACAGTCATGAAATGAGATTGGTTAAAACCTACCTTGGTAAAGCTCCGATGGACTAGCCCGTGGAGAAATAAACACACTTAACTTCAGCTCAATTGAGCAATAACTGCCTATTTATTGCTTATAACTTCATTTATTTTGGATGTAGATTGGGCTTCGTTGTGAGATACTATACCTGAGTGATTACTCCGAACTTTCTAAAAAGCTACAAAGTTAACTTTCTGAAAAGCTACAAAGTTAACTTTCCTACTGTACTGGATTACTCGTCAATTCAGGTATAGGAGTATGTATTAGAACGGTCCTGAAACTATGAAAAGAGGGAATTAGCGGTTTTGGGGACGGGAAGATTACAGCATCAAAAACGGGTAGGATGTAGGAGCCTAGGAGGGTAATTATAATAATAAAGGTACTGGGGGATTGAACAACTTACTTACTTTCGGCGATCCTCGATCGAACTCCCATTCACTGTCTGCCTCCACACGTCTTGATCGCACATAACAGTTCGAGGTCGTCCAACTGGAGCCCAGTGTCACGAGCTACTACGTCCAGGAAGGTGAGTGGTCTCCTTCCACAGTTCCACGGCCGGACTGGGTAAGTCGCCAGGGGAGGATAGAGGAGATAACTTGGTCAGAAGCTCTCATGCAGTGCCCAGCAAATCTGTTACGCCTTGACGCATTAAGCCTAGGGCTTAGTACGACAATTGACCCCCGACAATTAACCCCCATGTTATTATACTGAGATCAATTGACTCAGTGTAATTGCATGGGGGGTCAATTGTAAGCCGGGGGGCCACCTGCTTCAATCTCCCCGTCCCCAAAACTGCTTCCCTCTTTTCAGAGTTTCAAGACCATTCTCACACATTCTCATATACCTGGATTGACGAGTAAACCTGTACAGCTACAGTAGGGAGTAAAACGAAAGATTAGTTGTCGTTTTAGCTTATTAGAAAGTAAACTTTGTAATAATAAATTAGTTACGAAGCACACTGTACATCCTAAATAAATGAAGTAATAAGCGATAAATAGTTATTGCTCAATTGAGGTGAAGTTAAGTGCGTTTATTTCTCCACAGGCAGGTTCATCAGAGCTTTCCAAAGGTAGGTGTTAACCAGCCATCTCATTTCTGGAATTTTTTGTAGCTTTTAATCAGATTAACCCCCCAGTTCCATAGCGGATATTATGCCAAATTATTAGACGGAGGTCCATTTCTACGGTGATGATTCTCCGGCTCCGTCTACTGTATTATACAGTTATACGGAGATGAAGCTCTCCGGGAATTTCTCGGAGATTGTAGCAGTTTGTGGCAGTTTCTTTGCACTTTGCTCTGTGAGAATCAACAAAATTACCGGATAAGGTTATGGAACTGCAAACCGGAGAAATATCCGAAGAAATATTAGTTGACGATCTCCGTCCAATAATTTGGCATAATATCCGCTATGGAACTGGGGGTAAAAAGGGGTAAATATATAATTACATCAAAAATTTCATGACTACATCACCCGAGTAGCTTAGCGGCCAGGCGATAGGCTAGCTCTGCGCGAGGTCGGGAATTCAAACCTGCGTGAACACCATGCAAACTTTTACCCAGCACAATTTTTTTTTTCATGATAAATAGAAAATAAACCTTTGAACCTAGCGAGCCAGTAGCTTGAGCAAATAATTCAGATAGTAGCAAAAACTTAAGTAGTCCCAGTGCTCAGGTTTGAGGACATTGAAGAATAATCTGAAAATATCGCCGAAATCCACGACTATTTGCCGAAATCCACGACTATTTGCCGAAATCCACGACAATCCGCAAAAGCACTTGCAAGTTACAAAAAAGCTAGGCTTTGACTAGATAACCGACTCTAGTACTCAAAACTGAAATCGGCCTGGCTAGGTAACTCGAGCAGCGGTAATTTGACGATGAATTTTAGCAAGCTAGTCAATAAATAGATTTCTCGGAGATTGTAGCAGTTTGCGGCAGTTTCTTAGCACTTTGCTCTGTGAGAATCAACAAAATTACCGTAGATGGTTTCCGGATAAGGTTATGGAACTGCAAACCGGAGAAATATCCGAAGAAATATTAGTTGACGATCTCCGTCCAATAATTTGGCATAATATCCGCTATGGAACTGGGGGTAAGAAGGGGGAAGGGGTAAGGGGGGGGGGGGGGGGATGATGTCCGCTATAACATCGGGCCCCCATTATACAGTCCTACCTGTAAAGATATGATCTGGGATACTCACTTCATTAGCAGGCACATAGAGGTTTCAGACAAATTCTATTGACTTATTGACATTCCTACTATACTATACCTAGTAATATTGTATTTATTATATTCTTTGCAAGAAATTAAAAGATGTAATATCCATGTATATTCTTGTGGCTATTGTATAAATTGTATCTAAAAATTTTTCGCTGTCTCAGGTTTTCTTAAATTTTGTCTCAGGATTTTTCGCTGTCTCAGGTTTTCTTAAATTTTGTCTCAGGATTTTTCGCTGTCTCGGGATTTCTTAAATTTTGTCTCAGGTTTTTTCGCGCGTCTCAGGATTCTTAAATTTTGTCTTAGGTTTTTTCGCTGTCTCGGGATTTCTTAAATTTTGTCTCAGGTTTTTTCGCTGTCTTGGGATTTCTTAAATTTTGTCTCAGGTTTTTTCGCTGTCTCGGGATTTCTTAAATTTTGTCTCAGGATTTTTCGCTGTCTCAGGATTTCTTAAATTTTGTCTTAGGATTATTCTGCTGTCTTAGGATTATTCTGCTGTCTTAACTTTTGCACCTGTGTCTCAGGAATTTTTGCAAATCTAATCCTAAGATCCGAGGCTGGGGGAGGCCTTCAATAATGTATGGTACAGTAACATCTGGCGGTCGGATCAAATGTTTTAGGAACGTAAAAATCAAGGCAGGAATTAATACTTTTTTGTTGTTGATGAAGTGTTTAATGTTAATCTGGAGCGAGTTAATCAAGATTCAAGCAAATGTTTCATTTTAAATGTGCACAAATTTTTAATCTCTCAAATATCTGTAAAAACTAAGTTTTGCCAGTTAACATAATGATAATGATAAGGTTTATATATGAAAAAAACAACACGTAATTTAAAATTAAGTCAACAAAACATCTAACTTAACGATAATATCATGATATCCAATATGGCACAACATCATCACAACATCACGTGACGTAACCAAAAAACCACGTGACGTCACCACAACACCACGTGACGTAACCAAAAAATCACGTGACGTCATCACAACACCACGTGACGTCATCACAACACCACGTGACGTCATCACAACACCACGTGACGTCATCACAACACCACGTGACATCATCACAACACCACGTGACGTCATCACAACACCACGTGACATCATCACAACACCACGTGACGTCACCACAACACCACGTGACGTAACCAAAAAACCACGTGACGTCACCACAACACCACGTGACGTCATCACAACACCACGTGACGTCACCAAAACACCACGTGACGTAACCACAACACCACGTGACATAACCAAAAAACCACGTGACGTCACCACAACACCACGTGACGTCATCACAATGTCGCAATGTTTAAACTGAGCATGCTGGTTGACTCTTCCTCAATCGAGTCCAATGCGTGAGGCGTAAACAGTGTGTATTTGTCCTGCTTTTTAGGGTTGTAAGTTTTGTTGAGGAATTCTTCGTCAAGTGTTTCATCTTCTGATGCTTTACGTGCTCTTCTCTTTTCCTGAGCATTATTAACAGCTAATTATCATAATTAATAATTATTACAATTATTATAATATACTGATAGGTATAAGGGGTCGTTCACATATTATTACGTAATCACCTTTTGGACAATTTTTACCCCCCCCCCCCTCCTCCCCCCTCGGCTAATTACGTAATATGTCATATGTGAACGACCCCTAATTACATAATTATTTTAACTAATAATGGCAGTTGTTATCCAATTTGCTGATTCAATGGCAGTGTGCTGGCTAAAAATATCACACATTCTCCTGCACTAATCAATCATAATGCTCTAACAGATACGCTATTTCATGTCATTAATACGAAATGAAATAAAGGGAAACTGATTATTTATACCCTTTCTGTAAGACCAATTTAAATTGATAACGACAATTTACACAAACACTAGATATTAACTTATTATATCGTTAAGAGATGATTAGTTCATAAGTTCATATCAGAGTGGCTCTTTTATTGTTAAAACTGTAAGCCAATGTTTTTAAAAGGTTGAGAAGATAGCGTCCCAATTTGGCGCCAAACTGTCAAACCATTAATGGCAAATCTAGTTTTAACTTAATTTCAGGCTTGTGAGATTGTAATAGCAGTGTTAAGTTAAGATAGTTTTAACTTACAGCTCTGAGTTATGGTGGGAAGGTGAGCCATGTTTTTTTACACGTGACACTAACAGCAATGAACCAATCAGCTTCCACTATTGACCAATCAAACCCCAAAATCACTCTCACATGTCAAAAAATATGCCTCACCTCCCCACCAGTAGCACACGTCTATTATTTATCTATTTATTTATTTATTGTTTCTGTGTAAACTAGCAAACTACTTGTTCTTGTTTCTAGTCAAAGTACGTCTCCTCTCTGTGCTCCAGTGCTCCAGGATGGAAAAGATTAAATTTATCTATTTATAACTCACAGTTTGGTGCATTTGGCGGCGTTGCCAGAGGAAGTATGCCAGGAAAATAACGATGGCGAGAAGGGTGACAAAACCGAGCATAAGCCCTATTAGCAGCTGTTCGTCTTTCTTATCTTTCTTGTCCCTGTGAAGAGTGTTTTTAATTACTTAATTGCGTAATTGTTTGTTCATTTGATTGTTTGATTTTCTATTATACTTGAATAGATATTTAACCTATTGTAAAGTGGGCTATGAGAAATTATTTTACTTTTTTAAACAAAAATGTAAACCTTCTCCCTCAACTTGCACACGTACATTTATCATTTTTTGAAAACAATTGTACACATTCCATAGAGAAAAACAACTTTACTTGACCAGAATATATCACATTCCGTGTGAAAAACAACTTTACTTGACCAGTATAATATATTAATATGTTACATTTTGTGACGTCATGATTCTACTTTATCATGTGAGAATTGGGATCATGAGTCCAAAATCGTACGATCCGCATAAAAGCAACTAATGTTCTCCACATTCAAACATTACTTTGCTTCTGAAGTAGAAACATTCCTCACGAACAGGAGGATTGCACTAAAGAACACATTATCACGAGATAGATTGTTATGAGTTGTACAGTCTAGTCTCCAGCTGCCTGGAGAGTACTCTTCAACTACTGACAGGTTTGTGGTCTGTAGTAACATCTTCGAAATATCACGTGATGTCATCACAACACCACGTGACGTCATCACACTATCACGTGACGTCATCACAACATTTTGTACGTACGTGCGGTCAAGATGGGGATTATTATCGACCAAATGCTTCTCGTTTGGAGGTAACAGTGTCGTCATATTGTCATCGTATTTGTCCTTAGTTCGTCCTTCCCCACTGAAATATGTATAAATAAATTGTATTATTAATTATATCAAATACCTTAAAAGATATACATCTAAGCTGTTTAAGCGTGACCTACTATGGAAAAACAAATTGTATATGAAGACGAAGTTAACAGCAATGATATTTATTATGTACGTGATGTTATATTTTTATGAGTTAATATGAAAAATGAGAAACTGTGATTATATTATATATTGTGTAGTGATGCATCCGAAAACTTGACCACCTATATGTAAATATCTGTTATTTTATAAAGATAATATATATATATATCTATAATCTATATACATTATACAATGTATAATGTATAATGTATAATATACATAGCTGTACTTCTACATAATAGATCCTCGTTAACCTCATTCTATTATACATAATACTACAAATATATTACTATATTATAATATATTTACCGTGGAGTATGGCAGCAACATAGGTGTCACAGTCGCAGCAACATAGGTGTCACAATCGCAGGTGTAACGTTATTTAGGTAATTTGTAACACATTGTTAAATACATTCACAACAAAATTTTGATAATTCAAGAATGTTCTACAGATAGTGGACAATTTTTAAATTCTTCACTATAGTGCCACGCCCTATTAGAATGTACTAGGGGTACGAATTTGTTCCCATACTCCAGAGGTCATACTTCAACCTGTAGTCAACGAATTGTAATGAGACATTCACTATGCGGTATGCCTTACTTAGTAACAATTAGTATTTGCTCACTAAGATAGAACTCGATAGAGTTTTGTCCGAAAGAGAAACTCTTCGTACATCAGATTATATCCAAGATTGTTATTTCTAGTTTATTATCGGAAATCAGAGCCGCCTATAGTCTATACGTCCTCATAGTCAAATCAAGGGCCAATTACGATACAAGCATCTAAGTTGCACTCGTAGTTCATACCCGAACAGCCTAACAATTTGTATCGCCTTATTCTCAGCGGGGGTACCTGATCCCCCCGCCCCCCCCCCCCTCCCCCCCCGTTCTCAGTCACGGTAAAAAAGAAAGAGAGAGCTGAACTTTAAATATTGTCTGAGTCTTAAATATCTGAGTCTAGATTTTAGACAGTCCACACTACAGTCGTGTTAAACAGACACTGATATATACCGTGCTTAGTAATGTATTTATAGACCACTGTGGGCTACAGACAATTAGTGAGATGTATTATAACGGGAGAGTGCGTGAACTGATATAACAGTCACATGACGTCATCATTACATCACGTGACGTCATCATCACAACACCACCACGTGTTAATTATACGTAGTGTATTAAATATTATAATAGACCTTTATGTGTCACAACAATTAGTGAGATGTATTATAAGACGGGATAACAACTGGTTCTGTCGAATGAGTCTGGAGAATGTGAGAATTGTGTGAAATATTTGAAACTAGTGTAATTGTAGCGACATTATCAGATATTATAGCGAATATTAAGCGCATGAGACGGGTCACGTGGGGCTTGTTTATATCACGTGACCGAGTTTTTTTCAAACCACGTGACGTTAACACGTGCATGGGCAGAAAAAACCTTGACCTGGTAACATTGTTGCCTGTACCAGAGCAATTCTTACTGCTGGTATGAATCGTATCTGTACAAAGTTTTATGTTTTCTGCACACCAAACTTTTCTCAAGACATGATCACGTGACTTACGACTTACGAGTAGTGGATTAAAAAGTGTAGATAACAACACCACGTGACGTCATCACAAAACCACGTGACGTCATCACAACACCACGTGACGTCATCACAACACCACGTGACGTCACCACAACACCACGTGACGTCATCACAACACCACGTGACGTCATCACAACACCGCGTGGCGTCATCACAACGCCACGTGACGTCATCACAACACCACGTGACGTCATCACAACACCACGTGACGTCATCACAACACCACGTGACGTCATCACAACACCACGTGACGTCATCACAACACCACGTGACGTCATCACAACACCACGTAACGTCATCACAACACCACGTAACGTCATCACAACACCACGTGACGTCATCACAACACCGCGTGGCGTCATCACAACACCACATGACGTCATCACAACGCCACGTGACGTCATCACAACACCACGTGACGTCATCACAACACCACGTGACGTCACCACAACACCACGTGACGTCATTACAACACCACGTGACGTCATCACAACACCACGTGACGTCACCACAACACCACGTGACGTCATCACAACACCACGTGACGTCATTACAACACCACGTGACGTCATCACAACACCACGTGACGTCATCACAACACCACGTGACATCATCACAACACCACATGACATCATCACAACACCACGTGACGTCATCACAACACCACGTGACTTACGAGTGGTGGGTTGTGGGCGGAGCAGTGGTCTGGAGGAGTTGAGTTACACTATCTACTGGTATCACCATGTTTTCTTTTAACAAAGGACAATGTCCTGGGAATTGACCAGAGGTTAGTAATTGTATTAGTTATTTTTAGATTTTAAGAAGAAAAATACGATAACACTAGTGCAGTGTGAACTCATTTTAAAGATAAGGTTAAAACTTAAAATTGTTGAACTGATCAATTGACGTTCTGCCCTGCTTCTTAAACACTCGTTCGGACCATGAAAAGAGAAAAGGAGCGAACATGATTTTTTAATACTCTAAAATGAAATGAATCAAACAATTAATAAATCTAATTAACATTTGGAACCACTATTAACCGAACTAATCAACAAATTTAACAGCTAAAAGAGCCAACTCACCTAGAAGTTGAACTCCAGACTGGATGACAATGTTTTGTGATCGGGTGGTGGTCAGAGTCAACAGTTCAACACTGTTGATAGACACCTCACTCAGGCACCCTGTATTAGAATTAGAATTATAATTAGAATTAAATTTACACAGCAATGCAATAAAGATACAAATAATTTAAAGAAGCTTCAAGATGCTGTGCAGGACAATCAAGTCAGTCAAAAACTGTTAGAAGAATACCCTTCTAAGGACATAGAATCAAAACATATAGTAGGTAATAAATTATAAGTTAATGAATAATATGGTACAGTGAGATTATACATTTATCTAGCTTCTTTATACATTTATTTTAGTTTTATTTTGTTACATTTACTTATCATGGGAATTATTGTCGATATCATTATGATGATTTATATTTTATGTACAGTGAAAATTATGAGTCATTAATAAATATACAGTAAAATCAATCGAAATTCTTGTTCATGATAGATTTTTAACACTATGCTATCTCAAGTACAAAGCTAAAAGTAAAAATAGATTATTTATTTCTAGCGATGACTTCATAATATTGTATACAATTTTATATAATATCACGCGAAGCGTCATTTATCTTGGCAAGGTGTGTATAAGGTAGTTTAAAATAATGTATAATTATAAACCAACTGCAAAAATATTGTGATTTATAAAAAATAAAGCAACCAAAAGTACAAATTTTAATAAAAAACAAACAACAACAGAGCATAATCTATTTGTAACCTGAGATATAACATTAATAAATGTAAAACCTCACGTACCAGAAAACTTGTAGTCGTTGAGCTTGAGAGAAATTCCTCCTATCTTAATGCTGGTAGGTTGTCGGAAGGACGCCATATCCACAGTGTTAGACCGACTCCACGTTTTAAGGTCAACCTGGAATGAAGGGTATCATGGTTTAACTTGGCATGTGAAGAATTCCAGGTTTAACCTGGAATGTGAAGAATTACTTTAGAATAACAGTAGCTGTGATTCTATTAAATTTTACTGCGTAGTCTATACGTAAAAGTATTTTACGTTAATTCTTCCCTCAATTCGGCACATTCAAAGGCGTGTTTAGCATGTTTAGAGTTTTAGCGTGTTTAGAGAGCAAATCAAAATCCCGATAATCGGGGAACCATTCTTCAAAGGTACCCGGCGACTTGGAGTTGGCTCTCCGTTTCTTCCCTTTACCATGCCCTATCTAAAACCCCGAAATGTAACTTTTCTCTGTGTAACAATTAACTAGACACCACGTGACGTCATCACAACACCACGTGACGTCATCACAACACCACGTGACGTCACCACAACACCACGTGACGTCATCTAAACCCCCCAAATGTAACTTTTCTCTGTGTAACAGTTAACTAGACAGTTCTGCTGGAGAAGCCTGGTAAATGGCAGTTTAAGACAGTGGACAGTTTACTATAGTCTAATACAGTGATAGCTTGTACAGTACAGATAATTCAACTTTGCTATAAATTTACAGAACACTCGAAAGTAGAAAAAACCTTAACCTGGTAACCTTGTTGCATGCACATCGTGCAAGAGCACTTCTAACTGCACATCCACATCCACATTTTTTTTGGACAAACTGATAAGAATCCTATCTGCACAATATTTTATATTTTCTGCACAATATTATCTTCTCCAAGCATGCGGAATTGTACAGAAACTCTACAGAACACTAGAAATACTGTAAAACTGTAAAAATATGTAGAACCTAACTTTTACAGTGTTAACTTAACAACACACACCACGTGACACACAACGTGACACACCACGTGTCACACCACGTGACACACCACGTGAAGTCTCCACAACACACGGTGTTAAATTAATTTATAAGCGGTAGACTTTGGTAAAGTAAACCGCCAATTTACCGTAGAGTTTTGGGGATGGAAACAACCGCGGGGTTCGCGGTAAATCGGGGTTTAGTGAGTCGTTACTTAGTGTAACTAACAACACACACCACTGTATTAACTTATATAAGTTATAAAACCTTGTATTAACTTATTAACTTATAAGTAGTAACAACTAATAAGCGTTACTAACAACAAACTGTACACTAACTTAAATAATAGCCAGTAAGGTATGTTACATGTTAGTTGCTACACCAGCTTAAAAGATAAACGTGTTCTAACTGTACGGTAGACTCGACGTAAGGAGTAGATAACAACGCCACGTGACGTCATCAGGGCACCACGTGACGTCATCAGGGCACCACGTGACGTCATCAGGGCACCACGTGACGTCATCACAACACCACGTGACGTCATCACAACACCACGTGACGTCATCACAACACCACGTGACGTCATCACAACACCAGGTGTCAAATCCCGGAATGTATTAAAACGGACATTAAATGTAAACAAGTTGTAACTCGCCATGTAGTTGACAGTTGTAAATTTGTTAATGTTTAGATTTCATAGACTCGAGGTAAGGTGGAGGTCGGCAAGTCTAAATAAAGCTTTAGCGAGATCCGTTTTAAGATGGTATGTACCGTCAATAGAGGAAGAGTGCGTTAACTGACGTTTGGCAGGCAGTTTTAGTTACGGTGATTATGAAGTCAGAATTTAGGAGAGCAACTCCCTTCATCTAGATGCGAAAGTGTACTTTTTGTTTTACTGCTTTAAATGCTGAGTTGGATTTATCAAAAGTAAATCAAAAATTTTTTACCTAGTAGATATCTAGAATTGGTCCGCTGATCACTGATCACGTAATTATATAACTCTGATCACGTGATTATATAACTCTGATCACGTGATTATATAACTCTGTTTTACCAGAGGTATTTCTCCTATAACAGATTTACAGATTCTCCGATAACAACAAAATAAAAAACCACCGATAATCTTAACACCACTTTAGGGTTAGACGGGTAACGGGTTCCTGCTAGTCATAATAAATAATGTAATGTATAACAGTCATAGTTAAGTTATTATGCAATTACTTACTAACTAATTGACTAACTAATTGACTAACTAATTTACTAACTAATTTACTAATATATGAACTATAAAGTACCCGAAAGTAGACTTTAGAAGGAGAAACAGTGACCGTGACCTCGTGAGACTGTCCGTCATCTAGAGGTGAGTCTGTGTTCAGCTGTACATCGTCCGTCAGGGACAGCGACAGGTACCCTTCTACCATCTATGGAAGGAATGTTAGTACCCTTCCACCATCTGAAGAAGGAATGTGGATGATATTCTACCATCTGAGGAAGGAATGTGGATGATATTTACCATCTGAGGAAGGAATGTGGATGATATTTTACAGTTACTTTTAAAATCTGTACTGGGGTGAAATTAAGATTTCAGATTTACATTTTACGTTGAGACTCAGATGTTTTACTCACAAACTAGATTATGAAGCTCGCCGCCTTATTTACTTATTTACACAAACTTAAATACACGTGATTTATTTTAACGCTGGTCACTGTTGGCTGAGTTTATTTTAAATTGAAACCCGCTACATAATAAGGACGGGGCAGAGCTTCTAAATGAGCTTATGAACAAACAGGTTGATGGTAATATAGTAGTGAGTGTAACTAACCAGATACTATTACATGTGTCGTACTAGTGTAAATTAACAAGGTGATAACTGGTTATATTATATATTGGTTATATTATATTATCTGGTTATATTATATTATCTGGTTATATTATATTATGTGAAGGTAATATGAAGGTGACATAAGGTGCACTGGTGACATAAGGTGAACTGGTGACATAAGGTGCACTGGTGGACGGTGTTTAACTGATATGGTGATGCATCTCGCCGGGAACCAGGAAAACCGGGATCCAGCCGGATTCCGGGATATGGTCCATCCAGGTGAAATCCGGGATATGGTCCATCCCGGTGGAATCCGGGACGTGATTCTGATAAAATTTCGTTATGAAACTCGATGTGATTATGAAGTTTTAAAAGTTATTTTGTAGCTCTTTATTTGATTCGTGGTGCTTCAACAAATTGTTTTCAGGAAATCTTTTGGATGATCAGAAAATACTAAAAAAGATCCTAAAGAGCTTTTGAACAAACAGGTTGATGATATAGTTGTGTAACTACTAACTAATCAGAAGTGGCAGGTGTAACTTCAGATACAATTACACTCACATGAACAATGAACATAACATGAACAACATATTGTGTCGTGGTAATGTGTGATATGAAGGTGCTGTGGTTGATATTGTAACGGGATCCCGGTGAAATCCGGGATATGGTCCATCCCGGTGAAATCCGGGACGTGATTCTGATGAGGTGTGTTTAATGATTCTGAAGTTATTTTGTAGCTGAGTGTTTATATGATTCGTGAATCGTGATACATTTTTTGAAGGAAATCTTTTGGATGATCAGAAAATACTATAAAACAGATCCTAAATTAGCACCTGTGACCTGGAAATAGAAAAGTTTAAAAGAGATCCTAAAATAGCAACTAAATTATTAGGGAAATCTACAAGAGACCAAATCTAGAGACCAGTTCTAAAATTGTACCTGGATGATCAAAAATGAAGCCATATTCTGTTGGGAGTGCTGTAGACTAAGTAGCACATCGTCTTTACTACTTGTCGATACAAACTGGAAACTAACACGTAACTCCTCATCTGCAGAATTTAAGTTGACAACTCAGTGACAACTTAGTGACAACTTAGTGACAAACTTGTTGATTTGAGGGTGGATTTGAAGTGTTGTTAATTTAAGATGACCCTTGTAATTTAAACTAAATCGTTGGACTATTGTGTTAAAATTAGAATGATCTGGATAGTAAACGAAGGTAAGCTTTCGGATTAAAATTTTAATCATGCTAACAATTTCTGTACGTTATCTTTTATCAACTGCAATAAGGATTTAATTGATAAATTAAATAATCGATTACCTTGGGGGTCTATCAGTGAGGGCATGTTGATTTCAATGATCCCAAAACCATTAAATTCTGCAGTTTTTAGCGTTGTTCCAACTGTAAGTAATTATAAATGTTATGAATAAATGCCTTCCATGCAAACCCCCTAATTATTTTGTAATGATTATCCCCAGTTCTCCCTAGTAGTTGACCTTGTAGGATCTTTAATGTATAACTAGAAATAATGTAATAATAATCACTCACAATTCAGGGGAGTTACACAACTTTTAATTTCATCATTGCCATTATCAATAATTACTATTTAAACTATTGTGTACGAGATCACTAAAGCTAATACACCCATCGTTAAGGTATTATAACTGAAACAGTTAGGCATGGAATTATCAAGGCTGGGGAGATAAAGAAAACACCAATAATAATAGAGGTAATTAAGAGATAATTAGGGATAATAAATCTTATCAAGAACTCACCAGTAGTGCACTTAGTCTCATCCCAAGTTTGAAGACATGAGTACGGACATGACAAATCATCACACCCCTGACTCGGATACCAGCACCCAACTAGTGTACCTGCTTGACTCAGAGCGTGTTCAGAAAGAGGAAACGGTTCTCCATCTAACACAAAATTACTTACACAACCCCGGAACCCGGCGCTTGCTACTTCCGGGTTTGAACCGAAGTAAAGCGGGCGCTTGTTGAGCCGTGTGTTGGCTATTGGTCTTTTTGATTCAATCTCGTTGTTACGATCTTCAGAGCTCAACAGCGTGATTTGATCTGAAACTTTGAGACCAACAGAGACCCACTGTTTTACGGAGGTAAGTTCAACCGCTAACTTGGAGTGTTTTCCGTGTAAGTTAGACTCCAAGATGAGTTGTTTATAGTCTTTTCTCAGATAAAAATAATACTGCCCCATTTCAAAAGAGAGAAACTGAAGCACATTTTCAGGACTTTTGAACTCAAATGATAAGCTAAAGTTGGTAAAGGTTGTGTAAGTAACAGGGAATCTTATATCTGAATTGTTTACTGTAACAGTCTGTGGGTAATCACCATGAACTGGTTTCACATCTACATCTTCTGAAATAGTTTCTATGTTCTTAACACTGATATTATCTGGGAGCGGATCAGTATCTAAAATGTTAGTCCCTGATACTTTAATGTTTCTCATCAGACCGCTGAACTGATGATATGGTATGTCTATAAATGAAGAAAGCCCGCCAAAGTAAATGACGTTCTCGATAGGCCCGGTGTCATCATGTAACTGATACTGATATGAAGTTTCTTTGACACTTATATTGAGTAAATCTACAGTTCGAATAACGGTTATTGAGTTCCAATCTGAGGGATCATAACAATCACAAAGGTCCTTTGAGGAAACAGCTCCACCAACCTCAGATATATCAAGGGTCAATGTTTTGTTTCTAAGTTGGACCCTGAAATAAATTTAAATTAGAATTGGAATGAGATAATTATAACATTCTAATATTTTGAACTATTAAATAATACCAAAAAAGTAGAGATCAGCACGTCAGAAATTGAATTATTTCTTGAATATCTAGAATACTGTCATTCTATTATAAACTTTTTTGAAGGTGGAAATGCATTCAGTCTCTCCAAGTTGAATAGTATACCTGAATAACATATCAAGAGAGTTGAAAACAGAGAAAACAAGGCCATAAGAAAAGGCAGTATGAAAAGAAAGGTCAAGGGTAAAGTCTTTGGTTTGGTTGGAGGGATAGAAAGCAAGAAGGGAGTGGCCAGAAAAATTGGCAACAAAATCTGCAGAGGAGAGTTTCAGCAACAACCAAAAGGAGAAAAACACCAACATATCGCACGCTTGTTCTCCATTACGTCTTGTTTTTCATCTTCATATTGTCATCTTATTTCATAAAACTGAAAAACGATATACAAATATATTAAATACTTATATGCTCGTACTGAATACGAAATTATCTTTGTACAACATTATAATTACCAGAAAGATAATACAATTAATTTAATTGTATAAACAATTAAATCAAAACAGTACTACTTTTCGAAAATCCTGATTCTTGCAAGGATCAGGAAATATTGGTCTGAAGATGGTTGACACAAAATAATGTGTAGCCAGTGGCGTAACAAAGGGCCCAACGACGCCGCTGTGCGGGGGGGGGGGGGGGGGGGGTGGGGGGGTGCCATCTTAGGGGGGCACCAAATCATCGTTTGAATGTGGGACAATTTGGAAAAACTTAACTACCGTACTAGCAAAACTATGCGTTTTGCTCTAGAAACACACTATTTTTAGAGATTTTACCAGCGCATCCTCTTAAATCATCTAATTTTAGGGAGGGGCGGCAAAAGGGGAGGGGGCACCATGCCAATAGGGGGGCCCTTTTCAGCGGGAGCGCCAACAGGCAACGTTACACCACTGTGTGTAGCTACCAATGCTTCTGCATCCTAAACACTGCTACCAAAAAATGGCCACATCCAAAGTTCGATTTAAAAAAAGGAAAAAACGGTGACCACTTTTATATAAGACTCATTACAAGTACTCCCTCAGAAACATTAGATGCAGTAACAAAGGCTGAAAATTCACCAGATACCTCATGCCTTGATAATTCGTCCGACTAAATAACAGCATACTCCCACATTGGTTCCAAGTCCAATACATCAGAAGATCAATGAGGAACTAACAAAATGATTATGAGGAGTGTGCTAGTAGCAGTGAGCGGTGTATTTGGAAAGGCGAAGAAAGCATGGACCACCCCTATATTCAATGTGTCCTTCAACCTGATCCCTGAGGAGAAGAGCTATGAGGTAAAAATGAGATTTATTGTTCACGATTTATGATGTGCTCTGCCATTTGATCTCTTGATCTCTTGATCTAATTTATTGTATATGTATTGTTTAAATGACCTTTTACGACCCCTTAAAAAAGGAACTCATAGTTGGGGGATAGTTGTACTCGAAGCAGGATCCCTCTAATGCTATAATTCTCTCTGTTTAGTGGTCCTAAGTATAATTACCCAGTGTGGACGTTTTGAATGTACTAACTGAACTGCAGAGCCAGTTCACAGTCAGTTAGGCGGGGTTATAACGAGTGATTGTTCACATTGTCTACATAATGTCTACGGATGAATGAAAAGCTCCCTGCAAAAATGATGAAGATGGACTAGCCTGTTTCTTAATCTTTTCAATCTGACATGACAGTCCGTCAGATCTTTCTATTACAACACACCACAAAATCAAGTCAATCAATTCGAAGAATTCGCAGGCTTTAACATTAACATAAAAATCAAATCAAATCAAATCAGTAATTAAACAAAATACACTTTTCCCCAAAACTAGCAGCCTTTCAAGATTCACATCAACAGCAAAAAATGAAAACCTAGTATAGGAGCCGAATGCTCTTAATAATAGAAAATTGAATCCTTGCTATTATGCTATTACTTCGGTTATAAAAAACGATTATATTCCAAATGCCTATATAAATATATACTAAATTAAACGAGATTAAAGAAATTGTAGATGCACTCCACTCCAAATAAGGTGATGTTGTTTGGTTTTTTACAAACACATATGACATATATAAGAACTTTTGTTAGCCGTTCGCGTTGAAAATATAAAAATGTGTACTATCAAGTGTTTGGTAATATTGGTTATGTACCATTGACGGATGATACTCGTGATCGAAATTTCTTCGAAGTAGCGCGTGCTTGTCATACGTTGTATGACCCGCCGCGCACGAAGTGCGCGGCTCCCCCTGTATCGTCAGGACGATAAATAGTGAAACGACCGTGGGGGTCGTAACGTGATACAAGCGCGTGCCGCTTTCTTCTCGAAATATTAGCCCGATGCTTAAGTGCTACGAAGTAGCGCGCCGGCTTGGTCCATTAACAATGTACAAATCCACCATGCATTGCACCAAGTTTACAGTATGAGTAAGCTGAAGCAGTTAAAAATTTTCGCGCACTTTTTTGTGCTAAATTTGCAATTTTTCTGGCTTTTTGGCAAATAACTATTTAGTACTATTCAACAAAAAATTGGTCATATGAATTGTGAATGATGAACACGAATTTCGATTATTTACATTAATGTTGTAATTTTAATTTTGGTATAGTCGCGGTACAATTTGACGGATGTTACTCGTCTAAATTTCTTCGAAGTAGCGCGCGCCGCTTTCTTCTCGAAATGTTGGCCCGACGGCACGAGCTACGAAGTAGCGCGCGCCGGGCCAGATCATTAACAATGGTCAAGGTACCATTTTTGATTTGGGGATGCTTTCTTTAGAAATATATGGTAGGTTTCTGGTTTATACTTATAGCCTATACACACACGTTGTAGAGTGTAGACCTACTAGTATCACGTTGCGACCCCCACGGTCGTTTCACTATGGGCCGAGCCGCGCACTCGTGCGCGGCGGGTCATTCAACGTATGACAAAGACCTACCGCGCACGAATTCGACGAAAGCTGAGCTGCTTACTATTGTTCTTCGATCTTCTGATACATGCAGAGACAAACAGAGAAACACTAAAATGGGCCCATCTCAGTCTATTTATTGGTTATGCCTATAATGGTTAGGTTTAGGAAACCAAAGTAACGGGTGTTATTCGAAGTGGAATAGATCAGCCAGGGACGTAGCCAGGATTTTTCTTTGAGGGGGGCTGTCGGCGAGCGAAGCGATCCGACGCGTCCAATTAAGCTGTGCAGCGAGCGAAGCGAGCAAGCTGTGGCAGGGGCGCTGGGGGCGCAGCCCCCAGCGGGGTCCAGGGGCGGAGCCCCTTGGCGGGGGCTAGGGGGGCGCAGCCCCCCGGAAATTTTTTGCGAAACAGGGTGTTTTAGACGACATTTGGCATTAAAGAAATTTGTAGGACAGCAATAAACTGGGATTGAAAAGAATCAAGTACTCACGTAAATTTGGTAACTTCACAACAGCAATCTTCATTCTCCAATCAGAATTTACGACTTACTCAGGCCTCATCGTCTTAAGATTTTTACATTTCCTACGGTCTAGGGGACACTATTGACTATAATTATAGAAGTCTTCTAGAATGTTTGCTTGGATTTAATGACATATATTTACTAATCCACAGTTCAAATCTTTGACTGACTGCAGTCATAAACACAGCCCAGTTACCAGGCGACCATGGGGACTAGGGGGCTTATCTTTTTTCTGGGGTTCGATTTTTTCCGGGGGGGGGGGGGGGGGGGGGCTGCCGCCCCCCTAGCCCCCCCCCTGGCTACGTGCCTGAGATCAGCATGGGTTCGCAATACTGCTATAGTGGAGCCCAGAAGAACAACTCAAGTGAGGTTCCTGTAGTGAGTAGGTTTATAACTTACAGCTAGCTTGCTAGTCTATTGCTCGCTCCTCTCACGTATATGGTATATGCGAGAAGCTCGGTCAAAAGAGCGTTGCGCATTGGGATTCGATTACTACTAGGTAATTATATAAATTTATAATATAAGTTTATAACCTACCGTACCAGGACGCACGCCGAGTTGGAGTTGGACTCTTCGACGGTCTGACATTTAGAACAAATATTTTAAGAATATCACTCGTACGTTTAAGTTATCAATATTCAAAACCAGGGCCCATCAAAAAAATGAAACACATAATTTATTGAAAATAAAAATAAAAGTTAAGTATTCAGACGTTCACACATCACAACACAACAAATTTGATTTGAAATAAATAGCGAAAAGCATAATCTGACGATAGTAATAAATATTGCTCATAACTCATGATTCTTAAGCGTAATATGGAAGAAAGGTCTAATACTGTCATACATAGCAAACCCAGATGAAATTGTGAACTTTCGTCATAAGGATGCAAACCATTCGCAGTGAAATGAAATATCATCTGCTTTCCAAACTCCAGGTCTTATGGTTCGAAGTCAAATAACTTTTCCTCCTTTTTGAAGAGGCTGTCATAAAATTTTAGGTTATGGATAATTAGCAGCATGAATTTGAGGTTGGTTGATTATTAAAAGTGTATACTTACCTGAAGTCGAGCTAATCAGAATCGCTAGACGATCCTGAGCTGGAAGAGCTGCTACCACTGCGAGATCGACTCCTGGATTTCTTTGCAATAGCTCGATTGCCGGGACCCTTGGAACTTGCAGAGGATTTGTGTTCACCGGTTTTACCAGAAGAATGGTCCCGATCTTGGGACTTAGATTCGGAACCTTTGTGGGGGACTCTGGGACTTGCAGATCTAGACTTTTTTGGAGAACTTTTATTGTTAGCCGATTTCTTGGGAGACCGAGATCTTGTTGAGGCGTTTTTGTGCCTTGGAGACCGAGACTTTCTCTGAGGAGAGGGAGATTTTTTGGTAAGTGATCGCGACCTCCTTCTAGGAGATCGAGGTTTTCTCGGTGGTGATCGCGATCTCTTTCTTGGTGAACGCGATTTTTTCCGTGGTGATCGAGATCGTTTCCTAGGAGATTGTGATTTTCTTCTTGGTTGACGGAAGCCTCTTCTAGGACTAGATTTAGTCCTTCTAGGACTGATTTTTCTCCTCGTATCGGTACCTTTAACTGGTTCCACTTTGTCACTGGTATCCCTCTTTTTTACTGGCGATCTGCTCCGTGATTTAGTTTTAGAGGGAGATTTACTGTCCACCTTAGTTGCTTGTTCTTGATCCATGTTTTCTGGCTCACTTTCTGACGGCGCTACGATCTCCGTTTCGTTGTTTGACCGTAATTGGACTTCCACCTTAATACCTGAAATGGAGTAATCAGGTGATGATTTTGTTTTACCAACTGGTCTCATTAATGTTTAGCTCGGAAAAGATAGTCAAAAAGTCTGTTTCTTGAGGGAGTTTATTACGGAGCTAATTTCCAACGTGTCAGAAGAGAAAATGCAAAGGGACGTTAATAAAGGATGTAAAACTGGTAGAAAATAAACGATAAAAGCAAAAACACAAACCAGTCTGAGGGTTGTTGATTTTATCTTCCTTCTCAGGCCTGTCATTTGACACAGTTCTAGTCAGTTTCTCAATCTTTACCGTACTCAGTTCCCCCAACTGCTTCTCCACTCCTCCGCCCAGCTTGGTTAGTTTTCTTTCAATCTCCGAAATCTTGTCACTGTAGCCTTCCATACGAGCATCGTATATCTCTAAGGAAAGATTCCCTCGTTACGACTCAGAATATGAATTGCATGGTAAGAATTTAACGGCGTTTAGTAACTGAAGTAACAACCAAAATATTCAATAAAGACGCTGTCACAGGAGCATAAAAAGTCATAAACTCACTCGTGACACGTTGATTAGATTCCTTCAACGCTTTTTTGGAGCTTTCCGAATGCTCTTTGGGTTGATAGTAAATACTAGGGGTTGTCTTAGTTTGGATAAATTGTGCGTAGGTGTCCCGTTCTTCAATTGCCCGGACTTTCTGAAAAATTGATAGGAGTTAGTTAAAGACGCTTGAAAAAAGCAGACTTGGCCAAAGGAACCAAAGTAAGAGCTGAAAATGAATGACCCACTGCAACTGGCGCTACTGACTAACTATTCAAGTTTACCAATTGGACTAATTAAATGTTTAAATAATAATAACCATAATTTATCGACGAGATGAGACTTCTATTCGTTTACTTGCGGTTGAACGGGCAACAAACATTTAACAGGATGGGCGGGCGGATGATTTCACAAAATCCACCATGCGCGCAGTACAATAATTCGTTCAAAGTGTGAGCAGTGAAAATTCTCAACGCCAAAGTTGCTTAGCGCGCTACATGCCAGATTTTAGAGCTCCGTTTAATACTATAAACCCATTATTTAAGTGCATAAACATCAAAAATACATAATTCCCCTCTAATTCTTATGGATATAATGTCTCCAAAACATTTCCAAATACATAGAATAACATTATATGCCATATCCTGGTGTAACCGTACAATACGAGACAGAATAACGACAATCACTGGAATTTGACAATCACAGGAATTTGGCATTATTTAACTCTACACGACTTCTAGGGTAATAATAGCAGGAGCATATGTGGAGCATTTAATTCGTACATTGCGATTAGAGTGCAAGTTGTTAAGTAAGAAGTTAAAATTGTCCAAAATGGGGTAGTATTTGTATTGTAATGCGAGTAACATGATCTCGAAGACCGGTGTAAGTGTTAGGTTTTGCCCGGTTGTTTTAACTAACAAAACTAACTTGTTTTGACTAACAAAAGAGTTATTTGTACGAAATATTACAATTCCTCCTATAATAGAGCTTAGAGCGGTTAAACTATCTCCGGCAGATGTTATTCTCAAGTATTTACATATAATACGAGATCCCTTAGGGCTTAGTTAATAATATGCCAACTTAAACGTCATAACTCATAATTCAGATAATTAAATGATGACTTAATTTAAGATGTCTCAATTTTGACAAATATTTACATACCAAGAGAGGCTGGTAGGTCACCACTCCAATGTCTTTTGAATAATACAATTTTCATCAACTACCCATTGGAGTAAACAAAGAGGTAGAATTTAACCGTAAATCTGAACTGAATTATTCAAGTTATTGATCCCTTGACTACTAAGTTATTAATAATATACCAACTTTCGTGACTCTCTCTTTAACTAATAATTTATTTAAGTTAATAATTTAGTAGCAACTTCTCTGTTTAAGGGAACGTTTGCTTAATTCTGTCATTCAGTGTGTAGTTCTGAGTGTTAAACATTCATTGACACTTTTCCCATGTTTATCAGTTAAACCATTATATAAACATAGTAATGAATGTAGTACTATCATAGACTAATCTCATGGAATTGAGGTACTGATATAGTAGTTGTAGTCATGGACTTCGTAACACGGGGGTATATGTTCGCGTATTTGACTATTTGTATACAGATATTGATATTTGTATTAATTTGTACAGTATGCATAGTCCTCATTAGCGATATTGTCTGAGTTTGTACTTATACTTGAACGTACAGTTAAACCTCGCTCTCTCAACAGTATTTGGCACTGACTAACCATGGTAGCCACGGTCCATTGCTCCATTGTTGCATGGACCGTGCAGGGACCGTGAATAGACTGTCCGGAGCTAAACGACCAACTTGCCCCATGGTATATAGTTTCTTGTATCACTGTTTTTTTGTAACAGATTTCTGAATGGCACTGTTACTCTGTAGTCTGTAATTTATGCTAGTTTTTTCTTTGATTTTTCTTTAGTTCTAGAATAATAGGATAGGCCTTGTACTCAGCTGAGAATAATGGCTCAAATCAAACCATACCCAATAATGGTGTCAGCACATCACCAAGTTGGGTATTGGGAGGTGTCAACCACACCGCTACAGAGTGCACCCCGATCCTATTCAGTCTGGATCATATCAGTTACACGGTGTTAATATCAGTTCTCGTTACATGGTGTCAACTCCACGTGTTACAAACAAAGCTCAAAGCTACAGAACATTATAAATACCGGTATTATCTAGTTTATACATCATCAATCTTTTATTACCTTTTACAGCTACAGTTTTACTTTTACCACATCTTCCAACAAACAATGGGTCAGTGCTGTTCTTCCAAACAATCCTCCAAGAAGAGCATCTCCAAGAAAAGGTCTTCTAAGAAGAACACTAGAAAAGCTTCTTCTCCTCACCATTCCTTCTACAGAAACAACCATGTTAGCCCCACAGAACGATACAATCCCAGGGACAACCATGTCATCCCCACCGAACCCACAGAACGATACAACCCCAGGGACAACCATGTCATCCCCACCCAACCACAGCTGTACAACCCCAGCCCCCTCAATAAGCTTCCTGAATCCCTGATCACCCAACCCACCCGCAATTTCACACACGCCCTGGTCCACAAAGATGTCCTGGATGCCATGGTGGCTCACCTCTGCAACTGTTCCTTCAGCACTAGATGTCCTCACCAACCCCAAATAACCCCAGTAAGAAAGAACAGAAGAATCTCCCAACACAGGAGATATTCGGAACAGGACGCCTACCCTCGTACTTCCTACACTCACATCAGACCAAGACGACTCACAGCTCCTTCCTACCCTAACTCTCACCAACTCTCTGCTAACCAGCCCTTCCCTCCAGCTCGGCAATTATCGGAGATATCGGAGATGGGAGCTCCTATCCACTCCTCCTCCCTGATAGCTGACCACGAGGAAACTTGTACAGTTCACAAGCTCGGACTTTCTATCTCCGAGAGTAACGGAATGTACCAGGATATTGTAGATGATGATATGAATTCGCTAAATGATGGAGAGGTGTACGGATACAAGTTCAATCCTCGGGATCATATGTCCGCTTTTGAGCAGAGTGTTATTTGGGTTTAAGTTTGATTATGTGTAAATTTATTATTTAATATATTATTGAAATGAAAATACATTGTTTTTACCTTTATTAGCCAATGTGCTCAAAGCTTTACAAAGGAATGCCTGATCACTCAAACTACCCGCAATTTCATACACGCTTTACAAAGGAATTGTACGTGTCTGTACAATATCGACATTATTCTTTGTTATACAGGAGAATGATTTAGATCATTCATTCTATTGTAGTAATAGATCTTCTTTTACTCGCTTGGTTGTTGATTATATACAGGGTGGCCCAAAAGTGACTACCCACACGCAACCTTTTAATAACTCACGTAATTCGTCTTCAAATTACACAAAAATTTTAGAGATTATAGATATAGGTCAAACTTAGATTTCCTGAAAGTTTCGTAAGCCACGCCCAATTACAGTGGGCGTGGCGTGACACTCCCTCTTTTTCACTATTGTCTTCATAAAATGAGAACGCTTTAAGCTAAGAACTCCAAATTTTTTGCACACCTTTGGCTTGATAATTTAAAACCTTTCCCAAAGTTTCAAGTTCATTGTTCAAAATTTGGCTGAGTTATGACCATTTCAAAATTCACCGGATACGTGATCCGAGCACTCAGTCAGTGATCTCTGCACTTGGTTAATGGCCTGTTTGGCTCACATGCACCGCTTGATTGGTTGCAGGGCTTGTTAGCCCTGCTAGTCACAGGTTTGTTCCTTACAATCGATAAAAAGGAATGAACTATCCATTGAATCATCGAAAATGGTTCACTATCCTCCCTATACTGCGGAACAACGATTGTTTGTCTACCTGAAGAGAGAGAATGGGGAGTTCTGCCCTCAGCTTAAACGACAATTTCAAATGAAATTCAACCGACCATCCCCTTGCCGGAAAAGCTGCTTTGATATGCATCACAAGATCAAGTTCACTTTTTCTGCAAACGATCAGCGAAGAGTCGGCAGAAGACGAACTGCGAGGACCGAAGAAAACATCACCATGGTTATTGGTGACGTGATGGATACACCTAAAATTGGCACCCGAAAACGAGCTCCTGCCTTAGACCTCAGCAGAACATCCCTTCAACGAATCCTAAAGCGAGATCTTTCTAACCGGGCCTATCGGACACAAAGAAACACCAACTTTTAGACCGTGATTCCTGATTTTCCTGAAAAGGTCACGATCTGGTGCGCCATCAGTTCTCGTGGAATCCTAGGACCTGACTTTTACGAAGAATTTGGTGTTTTCCTGTCTAGCAAAGTCATTATCGGTATCCAATCAATCATGATCAGGTCGTCATCTCCTCAGTATGTTTGGTAAAGCCTAATGAACCTCATTAATACACGCTAACGCCTTACTCTTGAACAGATTGGGTGACGAGATCACTGATTGAGTGCAGAGATCACTGACTGAGTGCTCGGATCACGTATCCGATGAATTTTGAAATGGTCATAACTCAGCCAAATTTTGAACAATGAACTTGAAACTTTGGAAAAGGTTTTAAATCATCAAGCCAAATGTGTGCAAAAAATTTGGAGTTCTTAGCTTAAAGCGTTCTTATTTTATGAAGACAATAGTGAAAAAGAGGGAGTGTCACGCCACGCCCACTGTAATTGGGTGTGGCTTACGAAACTTTCAGGAAATCTAAGTTTGACCCATATCTATAATCTCTGAAATTTTGGTGCAATTTGGAGACGAATTACGTGAGTTATTAAGAGGTTGCGTGTGGGTAGTCACTTTTGGGCCACCCTGTATCTAGATATAATCTTTTTGGTCGACGCAAACACGACCTGTAAAAATGGAGCCCCCATCTATGAGTTCGTCACATGCACTTCTCGAACCACTAATGGCTGTTAACATCGAACGTTCGCGAAGTATTCGCATTTCCATTCTATTGCAACTTTAATAACTAATATATCAGTCTCTGTGCCGGCAACTAAAAGTTTATATTGTCAGATTGTTCCGGTTATAAATTACATGTATTATGTATAGTACTGGATCACACGTTTTGTATCGATCGTCCAACAAGACATTTTCCAGCTGTTTCTTTTCTAAATTCTATCTACCCCACTGTCAGCCACATGAACAAAACTATCAATTACTCCGACTACCCCACACTCGGTCTAAAGAACGGGTTAGTCCGCTCCATCTGGATCACATGGACCATACTAGTACTTGTATCATCTCTCCTGGGTGACACCATAATCCTACTAGCCACCATCAGATACAAAGCTATAAAACTCCAGAAAGTAACAGTTGTCTTCATGCAGCACATTGCCTCATGTGACCTCATCCTGGCTGTCACCTACATAACCCCGGGACTGGTTTCATTGCTAGCTGACGGCTGGGTTTTAGGTGATATTATCTGCAATGTTACGACTTACTCCAGCTATTACTGTCTACCAGTGGGCTGTTTCTTGATTGGTGGCATGACAACAGGTAAGCTACTGATGCTGCATTTCCCTCTAAAAGCACGAACATGGACGTGTACCCAAACCCACAAGGTATGCGGAGGTATCTGGGTATTCTGCCTGGGACTGCCCATAACACAGTATCTTGTCAGTTCAACCGATGTGGTTTTTGACCTCCGTAAATATAACTGCTCTTATGGGTTTTTCGCGGAAACCTGGAAATGGCTTAAACCTGTCAGTTTTGTCCTAATGGGCTCTGTGCCAAGTATCGCTATCATTGTGTCCACAGTCCTGTTATTCAGAAAAGCAATGAAGATAACCCACACTACTTTAAGATGGCAGGGTTCCTTAACGCTGGTGCTAGTAGCAACTATCTACAGTTTCGCTATTCTGCCTTATAATATCTACGGTTTGGTAGAACCTTTTCTGGAGAAAGACCCTGTTAAATGGAGTATGTTCCAGCTGGTGTTTTACAGATGTGCTTGTACCATGCTGAGTGTGAACGTTATGTCAAACTTTTTCATTTATAGTATGACTGTGAGAAGTTTCAGAAACTTTTTAAGAGAAAAGACGAGGATGATGTTGCAATTGTTATCAGGTAAATGAGTTTTTGGTTCATTTGAATCTTTGGAAAATAACTATCGAATTAAAATTAAATAACCTTAATTTAATACAAATTAATAGCAAATTTATGAGTGAACTGACAGCTGAAATTTACTTAATGTTTAATACAATCAATCAAAGTATTAATATGATCTTTATCCGCCCAGGAAGGAAAAGTGATAAGAATGAGACCAGAATAGTCAGCAACTATCAGGCTGCACCAAGATACATGTTAAATGAACCTGGAAGGAAATCTGACGCAAAGTTGACAACACTTGAAAGAGTTGTAATACAATGATTACATCCGATTTCGATTGACATAGAAAAAACGTCTACTTTTATTTTGAACGGTCTACTCGGTTATCCACTATAACAGAGAAAGGGTATGGATTATCTCGGTAAGGCTGTTGGGTGAGAACCCCTCTACCCCAAAGTACTTAACAAGGTATCAAAGAACAAGGATTGCTCCAACTTCCTATCCCAACCATCAAATCAACTCACCATCTCTGCAAGTTCCATCTTCTCCTCCAGAAGCCGAATCTCTTGGTTAACCTCGTCCTTGGCCGTCTCCAACCGTCTCCTATCCGCAGCTGTCAAGGCTACCTGTTCCGCCTCCTTCTGATTTATCTTGTCCCACATTTCCGCTTGCTTTGACTCCTAGTGATGGGATCGAGCAGGGTTGAGGAGGGATCGTTTTATTGGAATTGATTTTATATCCATTGTTTTCAATTAAGTAACACGACATTATTGATTATGACTTAAATAGCAACATTTTTTGAAATATTTGAGGGAGAGACATTTGAGAGACACAACATCAATAATTAATACCTTTATTTAGGAACTTTTGAAGGATTTGGATTTTGGATATGTCAGAATAAATATCTGTTCAATTCAAATTTTTGTAAATCGAGAATTTTAACAGGATTCCATCGTAACAGAAACTAATTGTACTTGATTTTTAAAACAAACCGATGATTTGGTTTTCTCTTTTTCTTGTTTGAACTGACGCAAGGTACCCATCAAAAGGCTACCAAACAAACGCTTTGACCTGGACAATATAATTTAAATAACATGATGAAATAAAACTTTAATTACACAATAAAGCAATGGTATAATTAGTTAAGTACAATTTAAATCTATGCCGATTTAAACTTTGTCTAGGTTTTGGGGTGGAAACAAGAACTGGATAAATTGAAGGCTCACGATTATAAGAACAAGCTTCTTTCATGGCAACTATTTTAACACCATTAATTATCGATGTTATATCACAAAGTAAACACTTTTAAAATTAATTAATTTGAATAAATGTAAATTAAAAGTAAAGTGTAATTGTAAAGTGTAATTTTAAAGGTACCTGTTCAGAGTTTTTGCATCATTTACAATAGAACTAGCAGAATCTCTATCTTGTATCTGGCTCAAGGTCACCGTAGATTTCAGAGTCGGCTAAAAATAAGATTAAAACTGAGCGATTAAAATCATAAAAAATTATCTAAAGATTTATCGATTTTTGTTTAATAAATGAATAAATTTTGCAACAATTATAATGTTGAAAGTAAAAAGTTTTTGCTCATAATCGTGTTTATATTTCAAAATAAAATATATTAGCTAATAATACTCACAGCGTCATCGTCATTATCATTGTCAGGTTTGTTCTCGATGTTCAAGGGACCCAACCTGCTGTTAAAACAAATACGTTATTATCAAATTAATTATTTAGATCGTCTATGATTTTCTTAGATCTAGCCACCAAATTTACCAAGTGTTATTAATATTAAACATTTATTTAATTTACAAAATACCCAATGCTATAAGATAAAACTAGGTTTAAATTTTAATACCTTGCCACGGAGGATAGGGATTTCTTGAGAGGGGGCTCACTGTCCACACTGCTATCGTTCTCTGCCCGGAACCTGCACATGTTTATCATAGTTTTAAATTAATTAACTAATTTTAAACTCATAACAACACTACAAATCTATTACATTTATTGAGAATTATGTAATGTAACGTGATGGAAATATTTTAAACGGGCATATCCTGTCCAAACCTAGGATGTACTACATGAAGAATTCGTTGTAACTTTGTTTGAAAAGCATTACTACTAATCTTAGTATTGATATTATCGAGCAAGGTATTGGAACTGTTGTATACATTTTAAGAAATCTGATTATTGATTTATTTGATAAAAGTAAAACCGTACCCTAAGACTAAAGTTTAAAATGTTAAAATTAAAACTCAGTAAATACCTCTGGACGCCACCAAGACGACCCATTAAGCGTCCAGGTCTGCCCCTGCCAGGTCTGCCCCTGCCCGCATCCTTATCTCCAAATCTGAAGAAATTAAAATCTTTAATACTAGAAACTCCAACACATGTTATACGAATTAGTGATTAGGTTATCAACTCAAAAGTCAAATGGTGTTTGGTGACTGAAACTAATGAGATAAAACTCAAAACATCTCATATTATCTCATGGGTTTTGAAATATAATACAAAAGGTCAGACAGTCACAGTCAGGCATCTGTATCAATGTAATAATATGTACATTATACATAGCATAGGTATAAAGTACTACCAACCTAAGATTTGAAGATGTAGCAGTTTTCTTAATCCCCTCCTCAACATGGCGCAAGTTGTCCCTAGCCCGCTGAAGCTGCTCCTGAGCTTCTATTATCTCCACTGACATACTCTACCAATTAAAACTGTTAGATAATTAACTTAATTTTAACTAATTAACTAATTAGCTAATTAATTAACCAATAAATCATAACTTTTGACTCTTGTAAAAGCAAATTGCTATAAAAGTGTAGGATAATTTACAGTTGCAGTAGCCTAAATTTATGTGACTGTTATAGGTGTTTTTATGTAAGACAGAGATTCGGTGATTGGTCATTCTCAGTCACGTGCCAACATTTCATAAAGAGGCTAAGGCTACTTTTACTTGACTGAATATTCAATTTAAGTATAGATAAGCATAATTGACTAGTTGGGAAACGCCAATCAAACGACTTTTTCAATCAATAAACGAATCAAATATCACAGTTGAACGGTTACTAACGGTTACTAACGGTTACTAACGGTTACTAACGGTTACAAGTAATCCATACTCCGCTAAAGAATATGAAAATTAGAAGAAATATCTTGTAACCCTGACCATTGGATCAGATAAATATTTTTAGTTCAAAAAACGTTTTACCGAGTACAAAATAACAAACAATTTTACTTTTAACTTATTTTAAATTTCTAAAACTACTAACTATAGGAACTATATCAGACATATTCTAAACCATTTGCATTCTTAACCATTAACCAACATGGTCAATTCGTGAAACAATGTAACTTACAGATGGAAAGGGATTAAAAGTGAAAATAAATCTAGTCATTAAACATTTTCCTATTACTGTCTGCCTTGAATAAAATCTTTGTAAATTCTCTACGTAGTCTCAACTATTTGTAAATTCTCTATGCGTAGTCTCAACTATTCACTCAATGGAACTATGCCAAGAATGCTATACAATATATCAAGTAGAAAACGCAAAATCTTATCAACTTTACCAATCAATAAACATCTCTGCTCTAAAATAGTTGAAGTAGCGCAGCCACATAAAATAAACATGTACAAAAATAACCAAAAAATACTAGTCTATTTCATTTACAATGCGTAACCAAAAGACGGTTTCAACTATTATAATACACAATCGGACGATAGAAATTCTGCAAAATCAGCTCTCTGCAGAATTCGTAACATTCTGTGACATTTCTCAAGATTCTGTGACACTCCTACCATTCTCCTGATAAATCCAGCTAAATCCTGCTAAATCCTCACAGTATACCACCAGTAAAATACTGATAATTATCATACAACTTAGTAGTCAGAGACCGCAGAGCTTGATAAATCATACCATCAATCTGTTTAGACAACTGTTCCTCCGTCAGGTTCAAAAAGAACCTATTCTGCAGATCGTGTACCGTTGCAGCACGGCGGTTGAAACACGGCCACTGTGACCCCAACTGCATAACCTCAACAATCAACTTAATCCGCTCGAAATGTTTCCGAGCAGCTAGGAATCCTTTGAGGAGCAGCTGTTTGAAGTAGTTGAATAAATCACTGTCTTGTCCGCCCAGCACCTCGACGTGTTCCTCGGTCAACTTGAAAGGGGAGTTCTCAAACCCTATGTTCCGGCCCGGGGAATGAGACAACATAAACCCGTAGTCTATGTGAATTATGTGACCTTGGTTGTCTATCAGTATATTGCCGTTGTGCCTGTCCTTCACTTGGATGAAGTAACAAAAGAGAGAGTACGCAGCCAGGCTGTGAACAAAGTTTTTCTGAGCAGTAAGGAAGGATTGGGAGGTGACTGAACCAAACTCCTGGATAAAATAACCCAGGAGGGATAGCTTACTCTGTTTCTTAACCTGATGAATGGAAACAGTGTTTGGTATGAGTTCAATAAACCCACAATCCTCACTGACCACTACTACCGAGTACGGGTACAGCCACAGCTCTAGTTTCTCCTCCAGCCATACTTTCTGGAACTGCTTCAGCAACTGGTACGCCACCACTTCCTGCCGCAAATCATCCCCACATTTAACGATACACGAGTGGAGATTCCAGCCAGGTAGATGGCCGTATGGGGAGAACTGCTTTGTTCGCTGAACTGTCAGTTCCCATTGTTCCTTTAACCTGCTAGCTGACGGATCACTATTATCGTAAGAAAACTTGGGGCATTCACTTTCTGATTGGGTTGAGAGATTGTTCCGGATTGAAGCAGCGGATATTGTTTGAAATGGGTCGTTATCTGTTTTTAGGGGCGTGGCAGGGTCGTTGTTTCTGGTACACCGCGCTGGGAGTGGGGAGTCAGAGCTGTGCCGTTCTACATACTCTATGTTTACCATATATGGGATCCTTTCTTTTGAGTTTAGTACGATTCCTTGGTTTGGTGGAATTCGAACTATGTCGTAGTGTTTGGCACCGATTGTGGGGATTTTAACTCGAGCTGGAAGGTTGAGATTTATGATGCCCAGTTCGGCGTGTAACTTGTTCATTTTGTCCTCTTTGGTTGCCAGTGGTCCGAGTTTGTCACATATGTTTAGGAAGGATTGGACAAAGTTCTGTAGGACTGTCAACCGAGGCACGTGACTTCTACACGACCAGAAGGTGGAGGAGTTTAGACAGTTTGAGCAGTCCAGTTCAAATGCTCCGCCTGCACATTTAATTTAATTAATTAATTAATTTAATCAGATGTATCGAATCAGATGTATCTAATTTAATCAGATGTATCGAATTTAATCAATTGATCTTATTGATGATAAACAAATTTCGAAACTGCAATTAAAGTCTATGATTCTAAGCCAGGGAAAACAACCAACATGTAAATTGTAAAACGACAAATCACCTGATGCTAAATCGGACAAGTGTTGGGTGCTGGCACTTCTCAAAATAGGTATGAAGTTTATCAGACCACTGTCATCTGATCTGGATCTGGAATGTGTCCGCACGAACTTGGGCGTGGTTGTCACGTGGGGTTGAGTTGGTGATATGGAGAGGGAGTGAGTTGAACTGCTTCTTTTTAAGGTTTCTGTTTCAGATAGGTTCAGTAGTGATGCTCCTGAAAAGGGTTGGATTGTCCTGTTAGAGATATTTTAGATTTACAGCAAAACTTCAAACCCCTGACCAAATTCCCCCTGACCAATTCCTTGATTAAGTAATCTGCTATTATTAAAAAAGGAATATTGAGCTATAGGTGAAACACAAACATTGAAAACTTCTAATTTATTACTTCAAATACCTGGTGAAGATGACTTTCCAGGACTAGTCCCCTTTTTAGATTTCATGTCGTTTGATATAATAATGTCCAATAATCTGAGTCCTCTACGCTTTGCATCAGGGTTCATCCATTCGTCTTGACTGCATGACTTCAACCACCAAACCGTTTTTAAAGCAAAAATATCATCATTCAAGCAGCGACAAAGGAGATAGGAGTGAATATGGTCCGCAACAAAAGAATAGTTGATGTACAGATGTAGCAGTTGGGGTAGGAAAAACTCCAGTTCAGTTTCTGATAGATTAAATAGCTTTGTTCCTAAGAATTCCCTGACTTCATTGCTTTTGGAATGGAATAGGTAGTAAATTGTGTAGTAAGCATCACAGTGTTCTGATTCAAGAAGCCGGAATAACCCATCCGTGGACATGGAATCAGAACAGCAAACAGCTTTTGAGTTTTCAGACCCTTTACATCTTGGCTGTATGGCTGAACATTGCTAAAGTCCTGAAACAAATGGCTTGATTGAAAATGCCTACAAATAAATAGATAACAAACATCGTATTTTCTGATGATAATTCAATGATCTGGACTCATCCATTACAGCATATAATGTATTTCCCTAACTTGTATGTTTAATTGGGCATTGGGCATCATTTAAACATGCAATTGATAATGAAAATATTAAGTAAAACAAAACTTGAAGTACAACATTTCATATAATTGTAAACAGAATTCATTATAGTATTTGCTTTTTGGTAGAGATTCTGGACAGATTTGTCGACTTATCGATTTGTCGATATATTGGTGTCATCAGCGAAAAGTATAAATTTTCCTAGGTCTGATAAGTTATAATAATAATAATAAAATTTGGTAGCTTAAACACAAACTCTAAGCCCAGTAGATAAACCACAAAACTTATGCTCTATTATATTGTGTGAAACAAAGATACTAGATAGATATCATCTTACTATATATAAAGCGAGACGATATATATACAGGGTGGCCCATAAGTGACTACCCACACGCAACCTCTTAATAACTCACGTAATTCGTCTCCAAATTGCACCAAAATTTCAGAGATTATAGATATGGGTCAAACTTAGATTTCCTGAAAGTTTCGTAAGCCACGCCCAATTACAGTGGGCGTGGCGTGACACTCCCTCTTTTTCACTATTGTCTTCATAAAATGAGAACGCTTTAAGCTAAGAACTCAAATTTTTTTGCACACATTTTGGCTTGATAATTGAAAACTTTTCCCAAAGTTTCAAGTTCATTGGTTAAAATATGGCTGAGTTATGACCATTTCAAAACTCATCGGATACGTGATCCGAGCACTCAGTCAGTGATCTCGTCACTTGGTTAATGGCCTATTTGGCTCACATGCACCGCTTGATTGGTTGCATGTGGGCCAGCCTATACAGCTGACAGCACCTAAAACGCTATCACACGAATTTATGGTGGTGTCACCATTTAAGGGCTTGTTAGCCCTGCTAGTCACAGGTTCCTTACAATCAATAAAAAGGAATGAACCATCCATTGAATCATCGAAAATGGTTCACTATCCTCCCTTTACTGCAGTACAACGATTGTTCGTCTACCTGAAGAAAGAAAATGGGGTGTTCTACCCTCAGATTAAACGACAATTTCAGATGAAATTCAACCGACCACCCCCTTGCCGGAAAAGCTGCTTTGACATTCATCACAAGATCAAGTTTACGTTTTCTGCACACGATCGGCGAAGAGTCGGCAGAAGACGAACTTCGAGGACTGTAGAAAACATCACGATGGTTGTTGGTGACGTGATGGACACAACCCGGAAACGAGCTCCTGCCTTAGACATCAGCAGAACAACCATTCAGCGAATGCTAAAGCAAGACCTTTCTAACCGGGCCTACCGAATCACAAAGAAACACAAACTTTTGGACCGTGATTTCCAATCGAGGATAGATTTCGCCAACACATTCCTGTCGAAGCAGAATGTGGATCCATACTTTGATTAATCCTAAAAATGTGTGTTTTCCTTTCTAGCAAAGTCATCATCGGTATCCAATCAAAGCCTAATGAACCTCATTAATACACGCTAACGCCTTACTCTTGATCAGATTGGGTGACGAGATCACTAATTGAGTGCAAATATCACTGACTGAGTGCTCGGATCACATATCCGATGGATTTTAAAATGGTCATAACTCAGCCATATTTTAACCAATGAACTTGAAACTTTTGGAAAAGTTTTCAATTATCAAGCCAAATGTGTGCAAAAAAATTTGAGTTCTTAGCTTAAAGCGTTCTCATTTTATGATGACAATAGTGAAAAAGAGGGAGTGTCACGCCACGCCCACTGTAATTGGGCGTGGCTTACGAAACTTTCAGGAAATCTAAGTTTGACCCATATCTATAATCTCTGAAATTTTGGTGCAATTTGGAGACGAATTACGTGAGTTATTAAGAGGTTGCGTGTGGGTAGTCACTTATGGGCCACCCTGTATATATATTAATCTTTGCCATTTTACTGACACCACGGCATCAACTTTAACGCGAATTTCTTCAAAAACCGTCAAAGATATACAACTGAATCTTTTTTGACTGGGTCAAATGCTTTAATGGCCTCGAAATCAGCATGAAAAAATAAAAAATAGGCCAAGAAATAGGAGTTTTAGAGCCCAAAATTTGGTACCCCAAGTGGTGTCAAAAACGCGAATTAAATAGGTAATAATTGTTTTAGTCTCTTCAGTCTTGACACCATTTTAGGGTTAGACGGGTTCCTGCTAGTTTATATAAATTATAAACAGTAGCGGTCCTAAAACACTACATTGTGGTACTCCACAAATAACAGGTAGTTTATCAGATCCCTCACCTAAAACTAAAACGTACTGCTGTCTGTTAGATAGGTAACTTAGATATGGGAGGTTTTAAATACAAATAATATCATGTTAAATGGGTTAAATAAAAGATTTAAATTTCTGGCTGATAAAATGGGTATACAATTTGTCTATATTTGAATGATGTTACCTCAGTGGCAGGGAGTTCGAAATTAGTTTCTTGAAAAACTTCGCAAACAGATTCCAAGCTAAATGTGTTCTTTTGGAAAAAATTCATGCTTGGTCGATTAGAATTAGTTATTTTTGCAGAAAATTTAGTAATGTTCAGTTGATCTACAGCATAGCTCATCATCAAGTTAAGTATTTCCGTACCATACCCACCTCTTCTAAATTTATTTTCAGCCACCATCATATTGATTTCAGCAATGTCTGGCGAGAATATAAAAAACAAATTGATGTCACCAATCATCCTGGAAACTTCTTCTTCCACAGTTTGGGGAATTGAGCTACCACTGATGGCAACAAAAGTTAACTTGTCTTCATCCGTTTGCCATGATAATTGCATTTGGTATTCTTCGCTCAGTGATAGGGGTTCAGAAGCAGTAAGAAGCTGTAGATCTTTGTCTTGCATCCACATATGATACTTTTCAACATGATGTTTACAATACGGAACAAGAGAAATGGTTTCACCAAGGATCATGGTACTTCTATTGAGTTTCATTCTGTCTAATTCAGTCACAATTGTGGTTATGCTAAAATGTAATTAAGTCTTAAGAGTGAATATTAGTATAATAAAGGACAATGGCATGGATTTATATTCGATACCTCCCTAAAAGCCATGAATCAATTCAAATACTAAATTATAACAATTAATTAATTAATAAATGAATCAAAAAACATTGCCAGCAAATTCAGTAATTTACTTAGTGACAAATTTAAGTCTATTTACTGTTGTTGAAGCCGCTGCACTTATTCACCTCAGATCTGTACTCTCCCAAGTATCATCAACACCTTACCCAGTGAATCATCCAATCCCTAATCCTCCTATCTCAGAAGAATTCATGCCACTCGAAACAGGATACTCTGATGATATTGACTTTAATAACACTGAACTTGCTCCACTCAAAGAAATGCTTCCTATCGCTAAAGATATATTCCAGCAGTGGGACCTTCACATCAATTCTTCCAAGACTGAATTTGTCCATTTTTATTTAGCAGATCCTAAACCCACTGTTAAACGCAAGGTGATTGTTGGAAAAGTGTATAGAGGTGATGAAGAGTGGCGCTCTAACAAAACTTTAGGATCGTTGATGTGCACTGTTACGGATATCAAGAATCGAATATTCCTTGGTAATGTTGCCTTTAGTAAATTTCAGAAAGTTTGGATGAAGAGCAAGATTTCAGTCCAAAGGAAGATCAAAATCTACGAGGCACAAGTAGTCTCTATTCTACTCTACAACTGCAACTCCTGGGCTGCACCACTAGCTTCGTTGAATGAACTTGATATTGCTCATCGCAAACACCTCCGAAGAATCCTCAACATCTGATGGCCTACTGGGGTTATTTCTAATGAGGCACTCTATGCTCGTTGTTATGTCACTCCCTTGTCTGTGAGAGTCTCTAAGTTTCGATGGAGAATGTTAGGACATATCTTAAGAGGACAGGAAGACTCACCAGCATACACCTCTATGTTATTTGCTATAAATTCTGATATTTTTTTGGAAGGGAGACGGGGTAGACCATGTTTAAACTTATTAGATGTTATTAGAAAAGACTTGACTAGTAGAAATCTTGATATTAGACTTAAGAATTTGACTGATTTCGAAGACCTTAGATTTTTAGCTTTAGATAGGGAGGAGTGGAAGAAGTTAGAAGATGGTTGATGTTTTTTGTTTTCTTTTTTATGCGTTTTGATATCTATAAGGTGCCTAGGATGCTCTTTTAAAGAGATATTTCGTACTTTGAAAGATTTACTACTACTACTACAAATTTAAGTAAGTAAGTAAGTAAGTAAGTAAAATGTATGACATCACATCATCACACATGTCTACAAAATATCATTGCACTGTGTGAAAAAATATATAATAAATATTTCCCCACCAACATTAATTATTTATCAAATACAATATTTAAAAACAATTTTATCAAAAACATTATCCTATTTTAAAAACTTCCCAGTGGAATAAAGATTTATAAAACGTTTCTTTGCCACATTTATGTGGCAAAGAAACGTTTTATCTTTGGTTCCATCCTTATAAGGATGGAACCAAAGATAATTGTTTTGTTTCTCTTTATTACTGACATAACTGGCTCCTTCAATTCTTACTAAAACTTCATTAGAAACATTAATAAAACAAATATTTATTTAATAAAACAAATATTTATTTTTACGGCACAATCAAACAATATCAATAATAAATAAACAATATCAATAATAAATAAGTATGATCACACTTATTTTAATGAACAAGAGACCCATAATTAATATAATCAGATACTTGTCAACAGCAGCAGTTTCCGTCCGTGTGATGTGTTGTCCTTCTCCTTTCTGTGTCCCCGTCGTTTTGTTTTGTGAAATGTATTGTAGTAGTGTTTTACTATTTAAATCGAACGCAACTCAATAGTTAATAATAACAAACACAAATACTATTTTAAATAATTGATTAATATCGATTTATACCAACCAAACATTAATAACCTTTTATATATGTGTTAAACGATCCAGGGCATATCTAAAATTCGATAATGAACTTCATATTATTAGTGCCGCGTGCTGATAAATATTCTGGGAATCAATCCACCCAATCGTGGCGATAACATATCTTTGTGCTTGGCCGGTTTTAGGTTTGAGTTTGTGCTCCAAAAGTGGTAAATCGGGTGCTAGTAAAGCTCTTTGCCCCGTCAACCTATATCTAATCTATTTAAAGAGTGACAACCATACTGCACATTGAATTAGGATTCCGTTAAATATCAAATTGATTTATTGTAAACTTGTTTAATCTGTAATAAATGGCATAAAATTGAAATTTTTGTTTAACTGAAATTTTTGTTTAACTGATCTTGCAGGCAACTGGCTCCTTTTGCCAACTGCTTTTGGTTGAAGCGCTGACTCACATTTGGAACTGGCACTAGTATAATTGTAATATCCTACGAAGTCAGCATGCTATATTATTTTGCAAAACTCGTTTAATATCTTGACAATATTTAAAGTTTATGAATGAAACAAGAAATTTAATTTTTAGCACATTTTACAGAGTAAAGAGATGTAAAACAATTTATAAAAATATAATGCTCATTTGGTGTATGACTTTTTGTCCTTGACTGTTAGTTTGATTTTGAAGGGACAGGCAACTAACGGGGCAGGTAATGTGCGTGCCTGAAAGCTTTTGCACACACCAAAACGCTAGTTCAGTTGAGTTTTTAGAGACAGGGCTCATATGAGGATCAGAAGAAAATTGTTAGCAGACGTTAGGGGTTCTGTTTGTGTTTGTTACTATGGGTTACAGTCTTGTTGTGACAGAAAGTCTACACTATATATATGCCTAAGTTTAAATTGTGTAGTTTGAGGATATAAGATGCAACTTTAAAATGGATATTGGAGAGCTGTTGAAAAATTATGGTCGTTGTATCAATGGTTATAATAAGCTAATATAAATATCTTAAACTATACAGTGCTAATTAAAAATTTCTTTATACTGCATTATCAAATTAAATGTTAAAAATTCAAAAATATACATTCATTTTATTTTATTAAAGACTTTCTCACACATACTTTACTCACAGAACAAGACTTGGAAAACACTAGACTAGGGGAATTTCGCTGACATGTGTGTGACCAGCAAGTAGTGATCTTTCGAAGACAATATTGTTGCAGTCAAAATCTTTGATTGTCCAATCAAGCGGGGCGTGGCTGTGTTGATTATTTAATAGTGCACGTTTTAGCTTTCCCCGCAAACACATCACACTCATGGTAAAGTCATCCATTCTAATTTTTGGAGTAATCATGTTAAAAATTTTGGTTGATCTTGTATTATGGTTATCAGGTGGGTCAGCCTGACAAATAAGTAGGGTCGGCTTCCTTGTCGAGCATTATGGTTTTAGGTTTAGGCGCGGCGCACCGCTTATATGTTATAGCTCCCTCATCTTCTGTTTTCAGCGATGTGTTGCTACACACTGTATAGCATGTGGGTCAAGCGCGGTGCCGCGCCTAAGCAGCAAAAGAGTTATTTATTTTAAAATTTATTTTTGTATCTCAAAAATGATGTAACGTTTTTAATATGACGTAGAATTAAAGCTATTTCCGTACAGCCTAAGTGCTAAGTATGCTCGTTAGAAAAACTATGAACAATGAACATAACATGCTAGCTTTTTTTATTTTTGTAAGTCGCGTCGGCTGACATCTTGGGTTGTACTGGATGTAAAAAGTTTATTATCGGATGTCTACTTATATTTATTATGATATTGACGACACATTGACCGAATGTTATTTTATATTCTAATTTATATACTAGATATTTTATTTATTTTCCAACAGACGACAACTTCCTGTTTTTTTTCCTTCAGATACCAAAGGGTTGTCATTGGAAATAAAATGTCTGCTCCCTGTCAGGTTAGATCAGGTGTACCCCAGGGCTCAATTTTAGGGCCTACTTTATTTATACTTTTTCTTAATGACATTACAGAGGATTTGTCACCGGAAACAAATATAACCATGTATGCTGATGATACAAAAATATGGCGTAGAATCACGTCCCAGGATGACCATTGGCTGCTCCAGCGGGATATTAACAGTCTTCAAAATTGGGCTCATCATAATAAGATGGTGTTTCACCCTTCAAAAAGTCACGTTCTTTCTATTACCCGAGCATATTCTATGAATCGTAGTGTTAATTTTGTGTACTCAATGAATGAAACGGCTATCGAATACACAGACATTGAAAAAGATCTTGGAGTACATATCAATAGTAAGTTAGATTGGTCACATCACTGTGATATGATATACTCTAAGGCTAGTCAGAGGTTAGGCCTTCTAAAAAGAACATGTTACTTCACCAAGAACACTAAAAAACGTCGGGCCTTCTATCTATCTCAGGTTAGAAGTCATTTCGAACACTGCACAATTGTCTGGCGGCCTCATTCAGAAACCTCGGTGGAGAAACTTGAATCGATACAAAAAAGAGGTATCAAGTGGATCCTTAATGATATTTACTTGAGCCTTAGGGACAAAAAAAGGTATTTCATAGCGTGTAAGGAACTAAATATCCTTCCACTCTCGGTAAGGTTTGATTACAAGGATATATTATATTTTCATAATATTTTTTATGACATGTCAGTTGTGACATTTCCACCTTACTTACGACGTTTCATGGGAAGTAGGTTAAGGCGATCACATCTAGACGATCTCAGTATGATTAGTGACATTTCTCCTCAAGTTCCACAAAACCTTACGTCAAGCCAGACCAGATGTTCAGGCATATCTAAGTCTTACTTTTACAGAGCACACATTCTTTGGAATAAACTCCCTTATGAATTAAGGGAAATCTCAAGGCCATCCGTGTTTAAAACCCATTTAATTAAGTACCTCTGGACAGTTCTAAACGACCATATAACATCCTCTGACAGTTAAACAATTTACCTTAATGTAACTATATTGTCTAAATATAAATTGATATGAAGTATAATTAATAAAATATGTTAAATAAAGTGTGTTTATAATTATGA